TGGGTGATGAATAAGAAATGGACACCCAACACAGGACGCAGAAACCGCCAACAAGGAAACAACCCCCCGGAGGACAGACCCCCTACCCCTTACTGGACGGCTCAGCTAAGGATTTGGAGGGACATATGCCAAAAAAGGTCGGCAAGCCCAAGACGAGAGAAGAGGTACTGAGGCAACCCCTGTTTGGCAAGCCCTGGTTGAGAGATGAAAGTGATCACTCGTTCTCCCTCCAGCCCAGAGGCACATGTTGGCTATCCTGGATAAAACACGGAGTGTGGAAAATCGAACATTTATGGGATGAAGAGAAAAGGGAATGGGTAACAGACCTTGACCTTGCCGTCATCCTCAAGGGTTGCCACCAACGGGATAGAAACCTGCAGACCATCATCAACAGCATTCTGGAAGGATGGAAATATCTTTCAAAGAGACCACTAACATGGAAAACAGGCGAATGGCGGATCCGGTTCCAGGAAATGCCCCCCACAGGGGCCTACCAATTCTCACATAAACAACAAGGGTCAAACACTGTTGCAATTTTTACCTCCTATCCAATATCTTTATCGGTGCATGGATCGGCATCCATCCTAGAAAAGGACATAGTAAGAACAAATCTAGACATCTTTCTTCTCAGGAAAGTGAGCCTATCTGATTCATGGTTGGGAGGCTTTTTGACACACATATTCTAGTGACTTGGTAGAGTGGACCTTGAATGTTTCTGAGTTTTCCCTTTTCTTCAATTGTTCTTAGCCGAAGCCGGGTAACGGCCGCGGTAGCTCAATTTTGTATTCTGATAAGGGAAGCTGGGCCCGGTTCCCAGCCGTGTTGCTCCCCACAAATAGATTGGAGCATCGTCTCAAAAAAAAAAAAAAAAAAAAGAGTGATGGGATCCTGGCCCAAAACAATCTTTATGATGGACACAGCAATCCAGGATTTGGAATTCGACCCAGCAGAATGGGCTTGGACATCAGGAAGGAACAAATACATGAATACAGAAATCCAGGACTACTCGGTGAAGATGGGGTACAGATTATTGCAAAGACCCGGAACCAATAATCAAAAGTAGATGGGCAAAAGTAATCGGTCAAGAAGCAGACCAGATCACACAGATTCCATTGAAGAAATTCAAATCAATCAGACCGATCAAGATCAGGAGTCTCGAATGGATGATAGCCTATGTAGCGCTACCGGTTAACCAGTTGCTCCATCTTCGCAGATGGAAGAACGATCCTAACAGTTCCGACCTATGGACAGTTTGCTCAGAAAATGAACTGGAAAACTTACTTCACTGCCTAATCCGATGCAAAGAAGCAACAAAATACTGGGCCAGGGCTTCGGATCTCTGGGACTCCCTTTTCACCAAACCCTTCCCTGAACACTCCATCCAACTTCAACTGTGGACTAGCATCTGGACTGACCTCAACAACTCAGAGAAGACATGGTATGATATGATCAGGAAAGTTACGCTATGGTCTATATGGAAGGAGAGATGCAGCAGGACAATTGGAGGATTATCAACACCAAGAGAAAAGGTTTGGGCAGAAACCAGGACACTGATTCAGGCGGAGATTTTATGCAGATGGCACACAACAAAACAGGCCTTGCCAGAGGATGAAGATAGGCAGTGCACTATCCTCTCCAAGTTTGTCAAAGTTTGGCTGGTGGGAGGAAAAGTTGCAGAGCTAAGAGATGGCAGCATACGCTGGAAAGACTGGCATAACTTGGAAACCAGGTGGAGAAGCTCACTACAACAAGCTGCGGGCTGTCCTAAAGACCCACAGGCAACATAAGGACATACACAAGACACCAACTTTTTGAAGAAGCAACTCAGTGGCCGGTCTCAACTGTCCTTGTTTTACAAGTTTATTTGGCAGATTCCCATGGAGGATTCTGAGAGGCATTGCAGGGAAAGGCAAGCTGACAGTCAATCCTCCTAATAGGAGCAATCAATGCTGGTCAGGGTTCCTTCGGCCTTACGGAAGGAAGCGTGAGTGGGTTCATGATGTAATCATTTTGACTTGCCGGGGGAATAGGAACCGGATTGACGCTCCCCAGAATGGATATGGAGGCAGGACCATAAGGGCCTGTTTAAATTTAAAAAAAAGAAGAAAAAGAAAGATTGATTATGAAATGGCCTCAAAGAGGGGGTTAACAGTGGAGGAGATGGAGGAGGAGAGAGGAGGAGCAGGGGGCAGTGACGGTAGAGCCATCGACGTTGGTGTAGTAATGAGCGGAGGAGGGATGACACATCCCCTAAAGCGCTTTGAGGTGTCCTTTTGCGCCCATCACAAATGTCCATGGAATGTCATGCGAAGGCCATTAAGGTAAAACACAGTGAGGCAAAGGGTGGCGAGGCAACAAGGCATTGCGGTTGCAAGGCATGTAAGGTAGAGTATATGGGGGAGGAGTGTCGGCAGACAAACAACACAAAGCAGCAAAGGAAGAAGCCACAAAGTGCAAGTACCAAGTCGAAAAACGAAGAGCGAAAAAAAAAGAAAAGAAAGATCATGACAGACTGTTTCGCCGGACTTGCACCAACTCATCAGGAGGCTGAACCTAGACAAACTGTGGAATCCCATAATGATGCTTTGGGTCATGAACCATTTGACCCTTGTTGAAAGCAGACTGCCAGCCGGCAACATCGTACGTGGAGCATAGCAGTAGGCAACGACTCAGCGAAGCACCAGGCAACGCCGCCAGGACAACCCAACTGCAAATCGTCAAAGCTAACTGCGTGGAACGACAGTGCAAGCGGACTGGCAGCAAAGCAACAACAGAGCGAAGCACACAGCAGCGCTGTAGTCTGTAGAAGCAGCAAAACTGCACGTCTCACAAGCAAAATGTAAGGGAAGACAAGGCACGGAGATGGACAGCAAGGCAATGGTGCAGCGAAGCACAAGGCGACACCAACAACGCAGCCAAGCTATATTGCAACACACCAGCTGCAAAGAACGACATGAGAAGCATGCGGGATGGGCAGCAGGGCAGCCGTGGAACATAGACAAGGCAGCCCACACATCCAACACAAAGCAAAGCCATTCAAAACCTACTGACACCACAAGAAGAACCCCGCAGATTGTTCGTTCCCACCACCTGCTGAGCCGGGGAGTCACTCCGACGAATGTACATCGTCACCAATGGAACACACAGACATCCCAAACAGAGCAGCCCCCTTGATAGTTTTGTAGGCACTCCAAACAAGCACCGACTTAGAAAGGAAGACATACAGAAAACTGATCGTCTGTGTGTGTGTGATTGTGTGTGAGTGTGTGTGTGTGTGTGTGTGTGTGTGTGTGTGTGTGTGTGTGTGTGTGTGTGTGTGTGTGTGTACAGGAATGCAGAGAGGGAACAACACCACATATGCAAGCATTTATCACATAGTCTTTTAAGCATACCCTTCACACGTCACATGATAGTAACTGCAATTGCATCGATAATCCAAAACGACAACAAAGGTCTACATGGTAGTGGAGCTATGGCAATAAGGTCAGGGGTAGCAGGAGAGAGAGAGAGAGAGAGAGAGAGAGAGAGAGAGAGAGAGAGAGAGAGAGAGAGAGAGAGAGAGAGAGAGAGTGCAGAGTGCAGAGAGCATAAAGGAAGTGGAATGCTTTTTAGGTAGGAAAAGAGGAACAGGGGGAGAGAGGGTGATGTACAAGACCGGTGTTGATCTCCGTATCAGAGATCTCTTCTTATTATCCTATATATATTCATACCCACATTGTATCACCAAACGAACAGAGTCGTCGTTTGGCAACAATACGTCTCTCTTTACGAGCGGCATCTATGCTTTGAGTGCTGTTTGCGAATGAGCCAGACTACACAAAATGATACAGCACAAAACAAACACAGGAGTGGCACTGTTTCGTCAGACTTGCACCAACTCATCAGGAGGCTGAACCCTCGACAGTCTACAGGATCCCTCATAATGTTTTGACATAATCAGGTTCAAACCCTGTTGCAAATGGGCAAACACAGGATTCCCTCACAATTCTTTGCGTCATAACCGGGTTCAGACCCTGTTGCAAATGGGCAAACACAGCAAAGCAGCAGTGCAGCATGGACTAGGCAATATATAGCGAGGCATAGCAGCAGGCAGCAAGGCTGGCGAGTGGGCAGACGGCCGAGATGGCGGGCAGACAATAACAGAGCAAGACACTCCGCACAGTAGCACTAGGCAGCACATAGCGTGAAGGGCAGGCAGGTGGGCAGGCGGGTGGGCGGCCGGGTGGGCGGGCGGGACACCAAGACTGCAAGGCACACAGCAGCACAGCAACTTGTGGACAAAGCAAGGATTGAAGCAGACTATCACCTACTCACATCATAAGGAAGACACAGCCTACTGTGGGTTGACGCCACCATCAGGAGGACGAAACCTAGAGGTGAATGTCTGTCATCACCTGAACACACAGAGACACAGGCATGTGAGACCCAGCAGCTCCCCTAGTCCTGTTGCAGGCGCTCAAAACAAACAGGCACTGACTATTGGCACATCTTAAAGGTAAAAGACTTAGGCACTCGGAAACACACGGGAGAAGACAGGCACTTGGAAACACACTCAGAGGAACAGGAACAAATAAATTATAGACGTAAGTACGTTCATGTCACCTTTGAGTATCGGATGGGCAAAAAAAACACGAGTCGGTAAAGAAAACCGCCCCGAGTTCGGAAAGGCAACGGAAGTACCGACGGCCGTGGTGTCAGACTGGGTGTCATATTTACAGGGGTCGGCCGTGGTGTGGGAGGGGGAAACAAAAAAAAAAAAAAAAATGCCCAACGGATACTTTTGGACCGAAATTGCTCATTTCGAGTTGGCACGTGGTTTCTTTGCCGGTGCGAGTTTTTTTCGCCTTTAGGGTTTCAAAACATGCCGCGTCCACCATTATTTCGAAGTTATATATGATTGTGTGTGTGTGTGTGTGTGTGCTGGGTGAGAAACAAAAAAGAAAAGAGAAAAAGAAACTGGTTACATCAAACTTATACGTGCAAATGACGTGCATGTGCAGTCGGAGATGTATGAGAGAGAAATCTTGACTCTGGGAATCGCCAAGCCCCTTCGATCAGTTGTGTGGGATCAACGTTGCTTGCTCGAGCTTCGAGTTGTAGCAGCAAGCATGTATCAGGTAATGTTATCCAGTTTGTGCTATGCTATGCTCAGCAGTGAAGCTTCCATGGATGCTGCTGCTTATGGATTGATGTTTTCAATGTTCAAACGTCGAGTTGTGGCAGCAAGCATGGATATTCAAACTTCAAAGTTCGGACACCATAGGTAGCTAGCATACCATTCAGCTACAAAGTAAAGATAGGTAGACACCATGGAACTTGGATCCGATTGCCCAGTTGGCGAAGGAAC